ATATATATATATATATATATATATATATATATATATATATGCAGGATGCAGGCTACTGCAAGATTCAGCTTAGTTCATTTGTTTTGGAAATCATTTGAATTCCTTTTCTTTCCTTCTGTTAAGCCACATCTGCACCAAACATAACATTAGAGGCGGTCCTTCGCACAGGAGGAAAAGGAACAGGACTGTTTCTGGTCTAAAATCCTAAATTCATCAAATCCACATTCAGCCCAAATTTCTATCTGGACATACGTGGATAATCCAGGTCCAAACAGTAAAAAGCCTATGCAGAAATTAGTTCAACTATTCACATTTCCAGTTCTACAACACAGACTGGGGATTTATTTTATGGACCTGGATTATCCATCTCTGACTTTATGCCTTCTGCTGTCAAGTGTTACAGAAATGCAGCAGGATTTGATATCGACCAGCAAAGCTAAAACTACTAGAATCTGCTTTAACATTATGTGTGTGTTATGGGCAACAAACTGGCCTGACCTGAACCCCAGAGAATATTTGGGATATTATTAGGAGAAAAAAAAGACACTGCAGACCAAAGCAGAAGAGCTAAAGGCAGCAACCTGGGGTTCCTTAAAACTTAGCAGAACAGCTGACTGGTTCCTTCATGTAACAATAAAGTAAAGCAGTGAGTCATATAAAAGGAACTCCATTAGGTATTAAGGCTATTGCATTCATGTCAGTCACTTATGTTTTACAATTCTTTAATTCCTCTTACTGTATTGTATAATATGTGCAAAGCCATAATGTAGTTTTCTGACCTGAAGTTGTTTTTTCTATAGATTTAAGCAACACCCACAAAAAAGGGCAGAATAAAAGGCCTGAAATATATGGTTATGGAAATACAGATTTTCAATTTTTAACTGGATTATTAAAACATGTGTTTTATTATATCCAAAAAAAAAAAAAAAAAAAGATATGGCTTGTGGTGTTTGGGTTGCACTACCACTTGTTAACCAGTAGATGGAGTAGGAGCACATCTTTATATTTTGGAACATAAAAAGTTTTGCATGGTTGTGAATAACAACAGTGTGGTCTGGTGGCTTACCGGGTTGAGGTCTAAGAAGGTTTGATGATGTCTCCTTTGCGGGGACAATCCTCCAATGGCTTCAACATATTTATTGTCTCCCAGGTAAAAATGAGGAAAGGAGGCGACTACAGGGGCACCTATGAGAGGAACAAAATTTCAGTTTGGACAGTTTCAGAGCAGTTAAACCAAATTCTATTCAGAACCTGAAAATGCTTTTTTGCTGTTTTGACTTCAAAACTGCTTTAATTCCAAATTAAAAGATGTCCAAACATTTCTTAGGGATTTTGGTCCATACTGACAGATGCTCCAGATTTACAACCATATCCCATCTTAACTCTCATCAGTCTGTATTCTTCTCCATTCAGATGGTAAATTTCCAATTGAATTGTACCTAATAAAATGGCCATTGGGTGTAAATCACTACCTAAAACAGAGGCTGTATGTAACTGTCACCTGCTTGAATAAACAACCCCATATGAATCCTCTCCAAGCTGCTCTCAGTGTTCATGTTTATCTATCTACACACACGCTGGGGTCATGTAAAGGATAAACAACCCTCACAGACACTCACTATCCCAACGCAGATAGCATTTTCTCCTTTATTGTCTGATACAATCAAGGTGTAACTTGCCCTTCCTTAAGGACAATGTGAAAGATCACTTCTGCTCTAAAAGATGTTGTCCAAACGAAAGAAAAATAAAATGTGGAAACAGGGTGACAAAAAGTCAACATGTCTGACTCATTAAATGCTGTCCCGATAACGGATTTTCCGCAAACAAGTCCCCGCCACTTATTCTCACTGGGACCAAGTTGGGTGAAAGGTAAGGCATATTTGTGCTCCATGGATGTAACTCTGAGCCAAATTCATGTGCCTCTCATGTTAATTGGCAACTATCACAAAGTTAGAGGTGGGAGCAGTTTGAGGTGAGGGTACAAAGTGGGGCAAAGGTGACAGATTTCCTTCTCTTCTCTTTGGCAGCGGATGTGGGACAAAAAAAGCAGCCCACCCGCAGTCACCTGAGAGCATTGTTCACATGACAACCCCGCAAGGTCACGGTGGTGCAAGTGGGCCGCTTGCCTTTTTTTTTCTTTTTTTTTTTATCAGCACAGCCTTGGGTGACCTTAATCCTCTACTGCAAAACTCTTTTCTGTTGGTGGCTAAACAGAGCTGCTGACCCCAGCCGAGCTTTGACTTTTATAAACTCTCGACATGTTTTCTAATGTTTCACCACTTCCACTGGCGGCGAGTTTGACAGCAGATATTGCTGACATGTTGATGCTAAAATAATTGAATTGTTTCAAGCAAAAAGGCAGTAAGGTCTTTCCTGATCGGACTGAAGGGTGAAATCAGGTGACAGGGCTTACTGCCACAGGCTGCAGGCCCAGTCATGGTCAGATGGTGCCTGAGGTGAGGCATGAGCTAGAAAACCACATATCGTGAGACCTTCATTTTCTGTTTTACTGCTGGTAATATAACTGAAACCTTTATACTAACGATTATTTTGCAAATCAAATAATCTGTCAATTGTTTTTTCGGGTAATGGATCAATAGCCAAAGTTTCCTTAAAGAAGATTTCTAACGAAATGAAACCAGGTGAAACTAAAACTTTTCCAATTGAGGAGTTCTGGATAGAGCATATTGATAGACGAAAACGTTTTTTTTAATTTTTATCTTGAATGCAAAATGTTAACATATTTTTCTTTTTTAAATTTTGGTATAAATACTGCTCTAAGTGGGTTGATCTGTTAGTTAAAGGCACATTTTACAGTCTCTATAATCCATTTAACAATTAATCGATTACTGAATTAGTTGACAATTATTTCAATAATTAATTAGTCACGGTTAACCCGATTCATTGTTTCAGCCCCTACTTTATACACAAAGAAAGACAAAAAGAAGAGTACAAAACAAAAACATAAATACATGTAGCTGTTGAAGCTCTGATGAGGCATGTTTGGGTTCAAAGACTGCTTAAGAGCATAAAAATGTGCTGCAGAGTGAAGATTACCGTTCCGACAGGGGCTGACTTTAAGAACCCCAGAACCCAGGCATTCCTTAGGGGTGACGCAGAAACCTGTGTTGGCTGGGTTCTCCTCTTTGCTGGCCAAAACGGAGCGGGGAGGTGTAAAGCGGTAGGCAGGGATTCCTTTCACCTCAACGTCCTTCTCAAATTCCATGTAGATAGTCCTGAACAGTAAAGTAAAAGGCAGAATTTATAACCTTAGAAGTATAGGAAACAATGGGGAGATTTTTTTTTATGTTTGTTGTTATTCTTCTGCAGATCAGAATACTGAAAAATGTGACTAATCTGTTGTTTCTTATGCACAATAAATTAAATGGCATTTACCGGTAGCCTGAATATATATAGTATAACAATGATTAGCATTAGTGGGAGATTTAGATATAAAATCATTTTCATTCATCAGAAATGTGTTTATGATAAGAAATAATAAAGGGTTAGTTAAAGGCATATTTTAATCAACATTAAAGGAGGTAATATAGCCACCAAATCCCTTTGGTTCTCTCCTCTCTCTGTCCCCTGAATTCTCAGCCGTTCTCAGAAACAGTTTTCACCTTATCAGCTTACAATGTTGCTCTTTGGTAAGTCGCACAGACTAAACAAAAGAAGCTTAGCGCGACATGAATGTGTTCTCCGACAAAATAACTTGTTCAAAGCTATGAAGTTAAGTGACAACAATGCCACTAATTGACTGGAGCCTGTTCCAGGGGCTGATTTTCACACAGGACACCATGAATACCAAGGGCACTTTGGACACGCCTTAAAGAATGTGATGCCAAGGCAAGTAATGATTGGCTAATAATTACTGTACTACTTATTGAGTTTTTTTTTCTTTTGCTGCATTGCAACCACATATTTTATAGTATTTTAGAGGAATTCTTTGACAATTTGACAATGGGCCCAATGTGTATCCGCCCAACTTTAAGGTACATGCAGAGGAATTTAACAACGCAGCTAAGTGGTGGTGGCAGAATCATGAGTGGATGTTAGAAAATGTATTTAAGTTTTAAAAACTTTAAGAATGATGACAAGCTTTATATTGCTAAAAAAAACAATGTATAGAAAAGCTACAAGGAAATGATTAAATGAATGTCTCACATTATCAACAAGTAGTGCATAACTGGTGGGGCTTCATCCACAAAAATGTGCCGCTTTAGTATAAAGTTACCAATATGTAGAGTTGATATTAATAACTTCATCTTAATTTACTTTCATTATTACAGTGGCCACAAAATTTCTGATTGACATGTCTTGCTTAGTTATTACCTCTTTGGACAGGAACTGCTTTGCCTCTAAACAAAACCATATGATCTCGAAGCAACGGTTGAAATTGCTTCATTAAATTAAGTTTTAATTAAGCTGAGAGGAGGGTGTTGTCCAAGCTTACATCCATCATGGACAATACCCTGTTGGCAAAAAGGAGCGTTACCACAGGTCATTCATCCCTGCACCAAACTAAAGCGTTTACAATATGCAATGGGTATTACCTGGTTAAATAAAGGATAAATTGTTGCTATATAATTTTCTCCAAAAAATATTTGGATAATATCCTTCATGTATTCTCAAGCTTATGGTAAAACCTTGTCCATAAAGATCACATCAGTGTTCCTTTAAGTCCCATTTAACACTTTTATATACTGGTATTTAAATATATTTTACAGTTATTGCTTAATGCATAGAAAGCTAGGTGGATAAACAAAATTATTATGCTACATAACTGTTGCCACAGCCCACACTTTAAAATCTGGGACGATTCAGTCCAACAGTGAACTGCACAAATCATCTCAATAAAATGAATCTCTTTTATCCTTTGCTTGATCTCCTTGAGGATTTCATTTTTATGTGAACTTCGCTTTTGGTATGTGCTGTAAATGTCTAATCACGTTTGAATATCTTATCTGTCTTCCAACATTCACACGAGAATTGCTTTATTGTGAAGGGCCCATCCCACCTCTGTGAATGATTTCAGTTATATAGTGCGAAGGGAATCTGGTCTATCCTTCTCTAGGAGAACAAAGCACTCCATACACTGTCTGCCAAGTGTCAGGGAGGAAACACAGCCTACCAGTGGTGCAACAACACTATGTGGACCTTTCCCTTGACCCTTGAGAGAGAATCCAAAGAAAACATGTAAAGTGTCTCTTATTTCAGGTACAGGACTGGGAATCTCTGCCCTGTAGTTGGAATGAGAAATAATCATAAATCTGCTGAAAGTTTAGATCAGCGAAGCTCATATTTAAACTGTAGTTTGTTTTTTAAAGCAGCTGGACCGGCATTTAAGTTTCAATCCAAACGAAAGAGTAGAGGAGTAAAAGAGCAAAGTACAAAAGTTATTTTAATGCTTTTCCTCACAAAGGAATTGATAACCTATGAATCGTATCCGTTGTTCTCATTTTACAAACACAGATGTTATGTTACAGATGATTAACCAATATTGTGTATATCCACCTTTTGGTACAACATTTTGAGTCATTTTGTGTAGGTCTATTCCAGCTTCCCAATTATAGAGAAATTTGTTTGTTCTTTTTGGTAATATTGTTAAAGCTCAGCCAGATTATTTGGAGAGTGTCTCTGAACATCAATTATGAAATATTTTTATAGTCCTTAATTAGATTTAGGTCAGGACTTTAAGTCGGCCACTACAACACAAAAATATGCTTCTATCTATGATAAATCAGTCAATTATAGCACTGAGGGTATGTCTAGGATTATTATCCAACTAGAAGGCGATCCACAAGAACAGTCTGAAGCTTTTTGCTAGGTTTTTAAATACTTTAATTTGCTGTACTCAATTACAGCCTGATGTTTCCCCAATAGGATGGTGTTTTAATTGATTTGCATGTTAACTATATGGCTTCTGTCACACTTTAAATAGGACTTTTTAAGTCTTTTGCCTGTCTTCCACCAGGGCTAGATCTGTTGAGTGCATGGATAGCAGTCGCCCTGTGGATCAACCTTTTCCTCTGAGTTAAAGTAGAAATAATTAAGTGATGTCTTGTTAGGTTTTAAAGGCATACAGAAGTTAAAAAGTGAAAAGTTTATAAGTGCTCCTTCGCATCTTTAAAAGATGATCTTATTTTTAAAAGGTTCAGAAATGTTCTCAAACAAGCATTTGATGCTTTCACTCAACAACTACAGTTATGCTCTAAATAAGTTTAGCAATGGTGCACTTTATTTGGTGACTGTTGATGGCAATTGGTTGAACTTGATTTTAAAAGGGTTATTTTAGTATGGGGTCTGAATATAAATGCACACCATTTTTTTATCTTTAAAAAAATTTAGAAAATGTTTCCTTCAATCTCACGTTACGAAGTACTTGGTAAAACTTATTAGAGTGGAGCAACTTCACAAAATGTGAACACGTTAAAATATAATTTCTTTCTCCATTATTCACACTAAAGCACTGTACTATGTTTCATCACTTATGATTCAACAGTCACCAAGGTCCAAACCGTGGTGACTACAGTGGAAGCTTAAGGCATGAGGCATGTTGGTATCTGAACCATCACACCTGTCTGCAGTACGTCAAAAAGTTAGCAGATTTTGCACGTCAGCTGTCAGTTTCTGGAGCAAAGGGTCACTACCCAGCGAGCTTGCAGATGGGAATCCTGGCACTGTTTTTAACCAGCAGATCAGTCCCAGATGTCAGTAAGCACATGTTTTAACCATTTGTACACAGGCTCTGAGACGCAGTATGTGTGTAAAAGGTCACAAATGCTATTTAAATGAATATTTCCTCTTCAAATTAATGCCAAAAAAAAAAAAAACAGGAACAGGGAGGTTGACTCCCTTCTTAGTTGCTAAAGCACAGACACAATGACAACATCAGGCAAAAAGTAAGTAGGTGAAAGAGATTTAGGTAAAGGGTCTTTGGTTCATGTCCAATCAGAGCAAGAGCTGCAGGCTCCATTCTCCTAATAGACTCTTTCCACACAAAAAAAGAGGAAGACGCGGGCCTCAATAGGGGAAAGGACAATGCATGCATGATTCCCAAGAGGCATGAATTAAAAGCTGGGAAATCAATCTTTACTCACACTATAAAAGTACGTAAAAGGGTGAGATCCCCAAGGATTAAGATTTGATGTGACTCTCTCTGACTTCCAGAAATCCATAAATACTATATACTTTTGGTTTCAGAATTTTCTGTAGAAATTTCAGGCAGCTCATCAAAAATGAGTCTCCAGCTCTTAACAGGTTTTGATAGAAATGTAAAACTTTCCACAGGAAATGTCAGCTGTAAGGAGATTAGCCATGGAGATATCTATATGGAATCAGGATGCTGTGAGCGGACAAAGAGGATCCGAAATCTGTTCCAAGAACAAGACGTATTGTTATACCCTGTTAGAAAGGAACACAAACACATAATGTGATGTCAGACCAAACAACACAGGCTTAATAACTTCCTGTTGTCCACTATTCTGCTCGTTAAAAAGAGACCTGGCTTTTAATAGAATTAGAGTTGTTATCCATAGCAAAACAAGCATGACCTTTCATAGCACTGATTAACTTAAACCATGATCAACAAAAACCTTCACAGAGCACTATTTCAGTGACGTTCATGCAGATGTCTTTAAGGAAATCTTAAGCCGGGCATACACACTGTACGATATTTTTAATTGTTGTACTTAAGTGCAGCTCAAGCTGTACGACTAAACCCCTGGGTTTAAAGGTTGACGATGTACATTCTAACACTGTATGACCCGACACTCTGATGCGATCCAACTGCTTACACTGTACTTCCAGAAACCACACGTCGGACTCAGCGCAGAGAGATGGTGCTGGTCAGACTCGTCAATCTGGAAGAAGAAGAACTCCCTTGTTTGCAGATGCAAAGTGCTCGAGGTTCTGGTAAATCGGCTCATAGACATGGCGAATTTCAAATATGTTTGATTTTCTCCCAAACTTACGACTCCTGATTGGGAGGTGGTTGTGAGAGACTGATCGCCCCTTGTTACCCCCTGTATACTATAGAATACAGGCGAACGATGAGATTGAAACTTGGCCCCGATTGATAAAATTCTCACATGACTGGAAAATCGGCCCGAAACTGGCAAAAAAATCATACAGTGTATGCCCGCGTTTATTTTACAACCACAGCAATAAAAACTACAGCAGGCCCAATATATTATTATTATGGTAATAAAGCAGACTATACTCAGAAACCAGGTCATATGCATGTGTGTCGCAGTGAGTGCAAATGTGCCCCTGACACAGACACTTTGCTACACCTCTCCAAAATTTTAGGTCACTGCAGACAGTGCCGCAGACAGGAGGCATCTGATTGTTTAAATCTACATCCGCTCTACACTATGCGTATTTCCTGTTTGGTACCATACCGGCTTGTTTTGTTTGTATGACCGCCATTGTGGAAAACGACTCGTAAAAGTGGACCAGCTGGAAGAGCGAGGTGCGGGAGAACGCTGGTACTCTTTTTCCAGCTGGATCCCCGCTCTTTTTCGCCCTCATGTGCCTCCGTTGTCGCACAAACTTGCCCCACTTCCTCACCGCCACAGCCGTATCTAGACCCACGGCTAGTATATTGTCGCTCTTGCGTACTGGAGTGAAATAACATAGCACAGGTCACGCTTCAATATTTGGCATAAATCAAAAATATCTGTGACGAGTTCACTGTGACACACTGCTGTAGGAAATATAACCAACCCTTAACACAAAGTGTAAGACTAGTAAGCGAGAACAGGACGCTAGCGAGCAGTTCCACGCATCAACATGCAAGTGCTTAAGGCAAAAGTAAAGTCCCTCAAAAATGTAATCTAGACAAGAAAGCTTTTATTTGGCGCCAAGATTCTGCCAACAGTGCAGACACTCAATAAAAACTCCTATGAAGAGCTTCATATAAGTGCTCACAAACTGACGTGTTTAACATGTTAGTTGTGTAAATAGAGTCCCACGGGCCCCAATATATCCCACATGAGTGCTTGTTCCTTCTCTGCATGTGGGTGGTTTAATTTCCACGTGAGCGTGCCACCATCCTCCTCGCGTGATGATCTCTTTCTGCTTGTCACTTCAGTCCAATCCCTAACTGGCCCCTAAGAACTAAACTGGAGCACTAGCCCTCCATTTGCTTGTTCCGATGGGTACGCCTCTTTTAGTGCCATCTCAAACCACCTAGTGGGTAGGGCCAGAGTGGACCGTCCAGCCCTTAAATTGCGTCTTAAATAGAGTCTGCATCAGTTGCAGGCTCGCTGGAATTTGGCAGAGGGTGTAACGGCGACCTGACAGCAGAGAAAACATGTTCCGGCAAATGCGGATTCAGCTGTTTTGCAGCATCTTTGTTAAACTGACTGGATATCACAAGTTAGGTATATGAAAAAAATGCAATTACCGGTAAGTCCAAATCATAAATAGCCTACCTCATTGAAATAGTTTTATTTGACGGTAAATGTTAAGAAAGGGCACAATGTTTGATGTTATGTTAACCTGCCTTACAGAGCTACAGCCACGCAAATGGGGCGTCACCGTGTTGCCAAGCGACAGTTGCTTTCCTTTTCCATTGTAGGAAAGAAGACATTAACGCTTATAATGGCCCACCACTAGATTTAAGCAAAACAATTCACATGAATATTGATTACATGCAATCATGTTATCAAAACCCGGTAGCAAAATTTATGTACAGAGGATTATAAAAATAGAACTGCAACCATAATTAAAATTTTGCAAAACTGCACAGCACTTTAAGAATACATGATAATAAAATTAAGTAAACTAAGCTCATATTGGCTGTTTAAATAAAAAGAAAAGAAATCTCTACTGTTTTTGAGGCAGCAGAAGGATGTGGGGGATAGTTTATCTATACATTAGCTATTTTGCACCAATCAGCTGCTGGTGAAAAAAAAATATGCATCTAATTGGAAAATTGAGCCAAATGGCCAAAAAACATTGTTAGAGCATTCGAACTTCACAAGTACAAGAAGAAGTGTGGTTGTTGACTACCTGCACAGGTCTGGAGTGAAGATATACAGACGTTCATCCTTGCTCAGAAAAGGATGGAAAGCACTTCCATCTGATCCAGAGATGCTGTTACTCTCGTTAGTCGACCAGAAAGTCAGCTGCCTGAAAAAACAAACTACAGTTTACATTTTTAGCATTTCATATTTTCTAATCAATTTTATTGTTCTTTTAGCAAATAAAGAAATCATAATGTGTGCAGAGTATATTTACGTCTTTAGTTTTTTTGTCTTTTTAGTTTTAATGTACTTAAAAAAAATTTATTATGTTATTTAACAGGTACAAAATAAACACTAATCTGGCAAAGTGGATGAACTAATAACCTAATTATCTTCATTTTTTTTAGAAACTGTGTTTAGTTTCACAACTTAGGTCTTCAACAGTGCAATACCTGCAAAATAAGAAATCCCTTTCATTTAAACTTGATAACATTAAAATAACTGTGTCTTAACAGACAACAATGCCATCATTTTGTTTCAGGAATATCAAACATATCAAAAATTGTTAAGAAGGTCACAAAAGAACTACACTGCAAAAAAAAAAACTAGAAATAAGTCAACATTTCTTAAATTAATTAATTAATTATTTAATTAATTAACCATTAATTTGAGTAGGTAAATAAAATGATTTACTAATGGAATTAGTATTTCTACTCTTAAAATAAGATAATTAGATAATAAGCACTTGAAATAAGAAAATGCAGATGTTTTTTTATTATTTAAAAAATGAATTATCTTGTTCCATTGGCAAAGTGTCTCACTTACCTCCTAAATTCAAGAAAAAAAATTAACTTATTTAAAAAAAAATTGACTGATTTAGATTGATATTTTTTTCCAGTGTAAGGATAACATCTGAAGGGCTGCAGGTCTTTAGCTCATTTAAACTCAGTGGTCATGTTTCCATGATTAGAAAGACTGGAAAACCCGCTCTTGACGAAAAAAGAACCAGAGCAATGCAACAGACTCATAGCCAGTTGTTTTGTGCTTGGTTGCAGGGAAACTGGTGGTGTAACTGCTTTTTGTAATCACATAGATTACAATTGTCACATGTCAGCAATTAGTAGACTTTTTTATTTTATTTCTATGTGACTACATTTCTAAAAGGAGGAAATACTTTTTCAGACTCACTGTTTTTTGTTGCCAACAAAACAATCAAGGCAAAGTTTGATAGATAAAAAGGAGATTTTTGTTTTTAAAACCACAATCATTAACAAGTTTGCTTTGTTTATTTTGTCATTTAATCTACAGCACTTCAAAAGGCAGCTTCCCCCGTATAAATGGGTACAGTGATTACAGCACTTAGAGTTAAGTGATCTGGATTTAATAGACTTAAAAAAGAAAAAAAAAATCCAATAGCAGGATGTCCTATCCAGCATTCTGTGGTAAGAGCTGCTGTCAGGTCCAACAGGCAAGAAAACAAAAACAAAAAAACACACCTATAATGTAATGGGTGTGTTTGTGTGAGAAGGCAGCAGTGCTACCTTTGCCCCTTCCAAGTTTCGATGCGTCCATAATCTAAGTAGTTCTGCTCTCCAGTGTGGAAGACGAATTCCCCATCATTGCTTTCATTTTTCTGTCCCAAACAAACATTGGTATCATTAGAATTGACACATTTATTGTAAGAACAATAAAAAAGACCCTCTCTAATTAAAATGAGCCTTCATTTTTTTGTTATAGCTTGCCCATACCTTATACATAAGGCCGAAGTCCTTCCCCACATCAGAGCTTGATTTGGAAATGCGCTCCAACAAAGGGTCCTCATAACCCCAAAGTAATTCGTGTACAGTCCGAGTGGTAAAGAGATTGCTCTTAGAGTTTCTTATCATCATGCTCATAAAAAAGGCCTTAAAACCTTGCGCCTTGTTCATTACAGCCTAAAGTCAGGGAGTTGAGAAGATATAAGGAAATGTTTACCCCAGATGGACTCACAGTCTTTTTTTTTCATTTATTCACAACCTTTAATTCACGACTCACCCAAAGAGGAATGTTGACAGTGGTTATGGTGTCTACAGCTGGGTCACCAATAGACTTTTCCATCAGAAACACAAAGCTTTTGGTGTTGTATGCCGACACCTTTTTACCGTTGTCCACCATGGTGACATTGTCCTTATACCTGTACTCTCTGTGCAAAAAAACAATTTTCAGAAAACAATTGTTACTTTTCTGTTAACCAACCACTAATTAAACACAGATATGCATACACAATGAAAAAAAGAAGACTTGTAAACATTTTTCAGTTTTTCTTGTAACTTTTCATTAAGGTTTAAATAGCCCCATTACCACTTAAAAGGCTGGGGTTCTCCAGAAGCATTTTTTAAGGGTCTGTGGACCCTTTTAATACACATTTACTATGGTAATTTCTCTTACGGCAGGCATTGATTCTACTAAACCTCTAGTCTGTACCAAGGAGGCAGAGCTTCATACTATCAGACTGGTGTCGCTGCTGAATCGGTCCAGCTGTGTGGTCAGATCTGTGCTATAACTGCAGCCATAACATTGCCCACTCAACTGGTCCTTTCCCATTGATAATTTTAACACAAAAAGTTGCTATAAGGTTTATTTAAGCAAGAAGGTGCACTTCCAAACTTTATTTTCTTCAGCATAGATATTTTAAGTTATGTAATGAAGGTAATAATTATAAACATTTTTGGCAGTTTAAAGGAAATAATGGAGTAATGATCAGACAGAGAACTTTTCCTTGCAAAACCAGATATATCTAGTCTTTTAAGACTAGCTTTTCATGTAAACCTAACTTGGTGGAATATATATATATATTTATACATACAGTATATATATGGTATATACGTATGCATTCTTTAAATTTTCAAGGTTTGATGCTGACAGCTCTGCAAGATGGGAGGTCAAAACATTGCCATCATTTACCTTCTGGAGATCCAAGTTCTTTTATCGCTGACACTGTCTACAGCTTCTACTTGATATGAGTATTTCCTTATTATTATATAAGGTATAAATTCCGTCTAAATTTGGCCTGACCTTAAAAAACAACATTGCTGTAGATATAATGTTTACCTGGTTGTTAATATAACAAAAAACAACTGTCAACAGTTTTTAGTAGTTATTGTAAACAATGTCCTTCTATCATGTAAAGAAAAGGATTAAAGGACTAATATCTCAGCAGGACCTGAAAAAACGAATTAATTAATAATATTCACCCTTAGTAGAATTGATTACTGAAACCTTGTCTTTACAGATCAGCCTAAAAAGTCCTTTAAAGAGCTGAGGTTGATCCAGAATCCCGCTGCCTGCATCCTCACAAAAACAAGGAAATTGGAGCACCCCAGTTATTACGCCGTTGTTACACTGGCTCTCAGTATCTCAGACACAAAACACTTGAAAACACTCCTGTCAGTCTATTAAATACTGAATGGTTTGCTCCAAAATACATTACAGACTTACTGCAAGACCTTTTAGGTATCCTGGCTTTAGTCTATTTTGTATCCCTAGAACTTGAACCAAGTACTAAGAAGCAATTTTTAGTCCATATGCTCCACGAATCTGGCATAAACTTCCAGATAATTGTAAAAGTGCTAAAACTATAAAAAAAATTATTATTTGTTAAGCTTTCTTTCCAAAATCCCTTTCATTTTTGTAATCAATCATGTTATCATTCTTATACAGCCATCTTATATCACTGCTAACGACTCCACATTTCCTGAAGAGAAATATGTGTTCATGGAAGAACACATCCAATTAACATTATACTTTCCTGCAGAAATGTTTCTAGTAAAAACATATCTGCTGTTGTGTAAGAAAGCTAATAGTGAAGCAATCTATATGTGCATCAATGAAGCATACTGAGTTGTTAATCATATACATGTCATTGGTATTGATGAAGTACCAGACTGCGGCTGTTTTAGCAAATGTCTAATCTTAAATGACTCATATCAATAACAGACACACACATGAATTCAGTGGGAATATTTTTAACAGTTAAGCACTTGGGGTGTAATTCTTTCTTGCAATAATTGCTGGCTTAGGGCAAAATCGCAGCTGCTAGGATGCATATTTTGCTTTTGATTTGCTTTTTCTACAAAGCATCATTAGAGCTCTGTCCTCCCCAAAGTTTCACTTGTAATCTTGCAAGTTGGTCTAAAGTACTTTTTGGATTTCTCTCCAAAATGTGCATCACTTTTACACTCCATTGAAAGAATACTCTAGTATAACACGGACCAACCAATCATGTCACTTACAGTAACTAAAAGTAGTTCCAGGTTCAGGTTTGTTTGAATATCTTACCTGTATGTGTAGGGTCCAATCTGATCGACCTTCGGTTTGGCCCCTTTAAGGAACTCCTCCACATTGGTCACATTAAAGAAGAAAAACTCCATAAAGACGGGCGGGGGAGGGGTCTTCCATGACTCAAAAACACGGCTGCCCTCCACTAAAACAATCTCCTGTTGAGAGGAAAAATCACAAGAATTAATATATATATATATATATATATTAGTAATAATTTTGCATTTTTGGTTCTGAATCAGTTAAATCTAATAAAAAAAAACTTTCTCAAACGAATTAAAATTTGCCACCTTTCTACTGTAGAACTTGTTTTTAATGTGCTTTTTTTATTTCAAGAACGTTTGGCATGCCTTTTCAAATTCCGACTTTTTTCCCCATCTACTATCTTAAGAATAAAATAATCATGTAGTTTAAGAAAAAATACATTTAAAACAGGGATTTACATTCAACAATGAAGCACACAAATGATGAGCGGATCATTAAATAGTTTTAATCATTGATTTCACCGCACTAATCATGTTTTCATCTAAAGTTCAGTGGTTTGTTTCTAGTAAAAACACCCCGAGAAGAAAAACATCCTTCTGGGTGGGTGCAGGAGACTGTTTGTGGGGGGGAACGGCTGGGTAGGTGTGGGACAACAGCTCTGGCTATGAACATGAATGAGGGGGGACCCTTCCTCTGCTCCATTGTCAGCCGTTTCCCTTGACGACCAGCACTCAGAGAGAGTGCCTCTGACGGATCATGTGATGTATGAAGCTGGATGCCCGCTGTTTGTGAGGGACTCACTACGACCTCAATGATTTGAGCCACATTCCTCAGGATCGAGCTTTTAGAGGCCCCAGAGGCCTGATGGCCACACTGTTTGATTACAAAGTATGATGAAACTAGAAGCAGGGAAGCAGGGATCTTTTTTTTTATTATTTTTTACCAAATATGTATTGAGTGGCATTTGGACTTTACTTCAAACTGAAAGTAATAAGAAAACCTGACATGCCCTAATTGTGTCAGATTTACCAAAAGCATTAAGGAGGTTTTTCAAGGGAATACAACCCCCACTTTTTAGAGCTCATTATTTGTGCCAAGAGACAAAACCTTAACTGAGTAGCCAAGGACAATAAAGCTGTCACCTTAAATTGAGGAACAGAGAGTCTGTTGTTTTCTGTCATCCTTTCTGAATAATTAATGTTATAACCCCACTCAGCATGTTGGAGAAAATACATGGAAAACAGGAACAAAAAAATCCCTCCCATCTCTGTACTTACCACTGCTCCTCTTACACCACACCCTATACATAAATACACGTGGCAGGTGAATACACAAACACATAAAAACTTGTGCTTTGATGTGGAGACTTTCTAATGCATACATAGATGTGAAAAACACTGAGCACAGCTGGAGGCATGCTTTAAATATTTCAGTGGAACCACAAAAGCTTTACGTTCTCAAAAGGTGTTTGCTCCACCAGCAAAACAAGACAAGCATGAAGAGATCTTAGTGGGAACTTTGAAGTCATTAAACTCATAACTGTGATTCAGATTTGCTCTCAACTGGCTGCAGTGCCTGTGGGGTCAGCTAGTTACAGCCAATGGATCCAGGAAAATACAAAAGGAAAATCTTAAAACATGATTTAATCTATCAAAGGAATAAACTTATTGGAAATAAAACCTAATAACTGGTCTATGCAACCCTTGCAATTTAACAGACAATGCTACAAAATACGTGAGGAAGAATTGACTTTAAGAACTCCCATCTCCCTTTAAATCCTTGTTTAGCAACTCTTAATGTGAATATAATGGTAAGGCTAGGTTTAATGTCTGTCATTGTCAAACCACTGGCTGGGTCAAGGTTGATGCATGTAAATTCCACTCTGAAATGAGCTACCTCTATGTGTACCTAATATTTTGGCCGACTCTGGGGTGGGAAGTTGTAGGGCAAATATGAGCTTACAACAGCAAACCACATGTAGAAGTAGAAAACACTGTTATTTCCAACATTTTTAAAGCCTCTTTGTGTCATCAAAAAGGTGACAGTAATTTATCGTAGTTATATTTATGAGCCAAATTGTTAGATGTCTCTAAATGTTTATTTTTGCATATCATCACCATTTTTCTGCTGCAAACTCCCAGCACAGAAAATCACACCCACAAAGGATCATGGGTGCTGAAATGATGTAATTTGGCCACACAGACCTCACGTACATATAAAGCCTAAACTAAGCTTTAGGCTCCTTTGGGTCAAACCTTGGGCTGGGTTTAATTTCTGTTTACGTTGCAGACTCAAAATGTCAATCAAACACAACCCATCTAACATCATAAGATGCTAAAAGATCTAGAAAAACAAACACATCTTTTATCAACTAGAATTATCAAAATAAAGTTCTAAGGACCTTATTTAAGAACAGAGGAAAAAGGTCAAATTGAATCAAACCTTATTAAAAAAACTTATCTAGTGTACAACACTGCAGACTACAAATAAGTAGACAATTCCTGTAACTGTTGGAGCCATAAATCTTGCTCCCTACTGAAAAAAAATAAAATAAAATAGTTTGTAACCACTAACTTGGTTGTTAAGCAAACAACTGACCAAAAAATACACCAGCAAATGTACTTGTACATGGTTCACAAATGCGAAATCAAAGTGTTGCTGCAAACTGGACAAAGTTCAGACAATAATGCCATTGAACTGCTGTTGAAAGACCTTAACGGGACTCTTCTCTGTTAAACTCCCCAATTGATAGAAGAAGTGACAAAATATTCCTGCATAACACTGTTAAATTCTTCTTGCCATTATCTTTTCACAGTGGAAGGAAGTATTATTTTTTTTAAATGTTCATAAATAATTTAAAAACAGTTTGTTTTGTTTTTACTCTGTTAATATTTGACTAATATAAATATGCCTATGTTGAGCTTCTTTAAATCTCAGCCATGGTTCTCGAATGGAAAAAGGGGAATTCCTCTTTTTTTGGGGATCAGTTCTCCCAAAAAGAGAAGACTTTAAATATCTTGGGAGTTTTGTTTTTGAGTAATGACAGATTGTTGAATGGAGCCTCATGCGAAGTAACGTCTACATTGTTCCAATCTTTCATATTGAATCAAAAGAAAGGTCAAAAAGCAGAGCTTTTGATTTACAGTACCAGTGTCTATGTTACAACTTTCACATTTGGCCATAAGATAAGGACCATACCCATCATGGGCATGACCAATAGAAAGACACAGTCTTCCTCCTCATAGTGGCTATGCTTAGCCTGTGAAACTGGAGGTTTCCCAGGCTTGTCCTAAACAGATGAAAATCCAGGCAGTACCAATTCATGTTGAGGGATGACATATCCCTCCCAGCCTGGGAACTACTTTGGACCGCCCAGCATAATATAGTGTGGTTGGAAAAACAAATGTATAGTTTTCCTTCCAAACCTTTTTACCCTCTATAACCCAGTTTCATATAAGGGGAATGCAATGTATATGTCTTTCGATGGATGGATGATTTTTATTTTTTATAAAATGGAAACAAATATGTTTACTGTTCCAGCTCTAATTGTGAACATGTCCTGCAGAGTTTCCATAACATGGAAAGAACCCTTTTGCTGCCCTTATGGGGTTACAGTATATCTCAAATAGTACCTACTGTTGTTAATGACAACAATCTGCAAATGTGTGTGGTTGTCAAATTTGCAACTTGTACCTGCTTTTAATGCTATTATCAACAGAAAACACGTGAAGTGTGACAAGAGTGTGCCTCTGAACCACCATAAGGGAAGGAGTGGAGCTTGTATATGTATTTCAAAAATGACGTTTAAGTGTTTTCAACTAAAACAAAAGGCTCTTCGTGTGTTTCCTTTGAGGAGATTCTGAATAAACCTAAACAAAATTTTAAATCGCTTGAAAACCCAGCATCAATGGGCTAGGTGAACAAACTAAAGCCAATATTCTATTTCTAACATTAAATGATCAATACGTACTGACCCTGAGTGCTCACACTAAAAAAACAGGGGTTTCAAAACCCAGTGTGTTTTCTATTATATCCTAAACAATGAAAGACTCAGCAACAAAAGACAGGCTACGGCTCCAAGAACACATATGTAATGAGATCTGCATGAAGCAGTGATTTAAAAACAAAAGAGCGTCACACTGTCAGTAACTAGGAAATGATGAGAGGCATAAGAAAGTCTCCAACACAGATTATTGATACCAGACTTATGACTTTTTTCAACAAAATATCATTAAATAAACATTTTGCAACGAATTGCAGAAGCAAAATTACGCAAAATATTTGAATACTTACAAACAATTAATTTCAAACATCTTTTTTCTAATGTCATCATTTCACTCCACTATATAATATAATCACCCTGGCACTCTAATTAATGTATATATTAAGAGATTTATTTATAGTGAGTAATTTGTATCATGTCATGATGTGATCATTTTTGACATGCTTTCATATCACTTCGTAAACAGACACATAGGAATGAAGAGAAAGCCCCAGGTCCCGCTATAAAAAAAGAGTTTTAAAAGGTTGCCTCAAATATACTCCCTTTAATAATTCCAAAGCTAACAGCATCGGCCCTCACTGCCACAGCTTGCCAATATTTAGATAAGGCATGATGTATATTTTTAGCATAAAATTTCATATTTACGTGCATTTATATGGTCAGGCCTGAAAACTCCTCATTCTGATAAACTCAAACCATTTACATTTGAAATATATTAGTTAGGAAAGTATGTGTTGATTATGAAAAGATGAAAAGAGTGACATATACGTAGCCGGCATTACTGAGAACGGCCCAGAATAAAGTATATTCATAAAGTTATTTTGTCAAATTTTTACAAATAAATAAATAAATTGACTGATGTGCACCGAGGAATTGCTGTACCTGTTCCTGTCCTCATCTAACCTTGACAGTTGCTGATATTTGCATAAGTAGGGGCCACAGTTTGAAGCACTGTTGCCAGGGATGGGGTGACCATAGTGGGAATCAGAGAGCAGATAGGGATGCAGTTGAACGCACCGACTGCCCTGGTCCTTATCGCCCCCACAGCTGCAGGTGGCTCAGCACATTAAGAGGAAATACAAACAGCCCCTACCAGTATAAAAGAAGAACGAAAGAGAAAGATGTGGACTAAGCAGCAAAGATGCTGTATTGAAAGATTTTTGGAGTAGA